CCCTTCCCCAGAGCCAGCGCTGCACAGCGGGACACACGCAGGATGTGGTCTGACGCCAGTCTGATCTCGTTCAGCAGGGGTAAAAGGGGGTTTTCCTGCGGCATCTGAGCTGCCAGTTCAGCCAAGGCCACGGCCTGGTGGGTCTGAAACATGGTGATGGAGCTCAGCGGACAGGGGGTGTTGCCTTGGGCTTTGTAGATTTTCTCCAGCTGTGCCGAAGAGAATCTGCAGGGCTTGGAAGGGAGCAGGGTGGGCCCGCTCACACCCTGGATGTGAGACRGAGCCAAATAAGCATCTAAAGACGGCTCCATCGGAGGGATGCCCACCAGGTCTGCCTTTTCCACATCCAAGTACTGACCCTGTCCGGGCACGAAGGCGTGGACGGACAGCGGTTTGCTCCAAGAAGACGTCAGCTCCAACACAAAGTCCGGAAACATAGGCAGACGGTGCTTCACATCAGCCGGTTCAGACGGGAGAWAAAACCCTGCGAACCTCGACGGCTTTTGAGCAGGACGGRGGTCGGGCCACTGTACCTCCAGTTTAGCAGCAGCTCAGCGGCACAGGGACAAGAAGGATGAATCCTGGTCCACCCTCTCAGCATCGGGGGTGGAGTGAGCTGGGCAMGGCTCCTCGTCGTCTTCGGACAGACTGAAAACCTCCTGCTCCATCTGCAGAACATCGTCCTCCTCTTGGTTTAGATCCAGTAGAAACTGGGTCTCACCCCCCTCGATGTCGGGTGAGGCCGCCTCGTGCTCCATCTGGTCCGCCCAGCTAGCAGCGGGGGCTTCGACCGCTGAATCCTCGTTTTCGCCGGACTGAGCCGTCTGGCTGGATTCGGAGAGCAGTGGGTCTTGTCAGAAAACAGCAGTTCCCCCAGCATTTTCTCCAGGAATTTCACTCTCCTCTCCAGTGTCGGATGTGAAAGTCCAGCACAGGCCCGGCAGGACTCGGGCTCCACAAGTGCCCGTCGAGCGTGAATGATTCCTAGGCAGGCCAGGCAGGCCTCATGCTGGTCCTTCTCATGAAGCTTAAAGCCGCACCCCTGAGGACAGGGGCGAACAGAAGACTTCGGCTTTTTCGAAGGTGATTTTGTGCTCATCGTGAACTAYAAAACAGATTTTCAGCAGAAAATAAAGGTCACTTAAGTAGCGTCGAGCGGCAGACACATGAACTAGCAGGTAACGCAGTTAGCACCAGTAAAGCTAGCCTAAGAACCTTAGAAGCTGAGCTAACTAGCAGCAGCTATGTGAGCTCAGGTTTAGAGGTGACTGTCGCGAGGTGAAGGGCGATAGAACTGAGTAATGACACTAGTGACTCCGAACTTATAGGGTGAAGGCGGAGCCTGTCACCCAACGTTCAACGTCACCACGTCATCGGTCTAAAGACGTGATTAGAGGTGGTTTCAGCCAGGCGCGTGAGGGCGCGCATGTCCCATGTACAACTGTGTGTTGTACTGAGTGAAATGACTGAAAAGGAACTGAACAAACAGTGGAGGAGGTGAGCTGGTTGAGCAAAGCAGAGCAAACAAAAGCTGTAACCATCAGTGGGATCTGCACATCCTATTCACAAAATCTCTTCCCCAAAAAGAKCTTCGTGGTCATCCTGTTGCTTCGCGGAGCTCGCAGGAGAGTACCCTGTACTCTGCTCCGGCATTTTTCACAGTGGATCTCAGCCTTTCAACCACATTCATGAGAGAGACTTTTAGCAATGAGGAGCAGAAACAACAAAAGACTGCAAAGGTTCAGACACAAAAGGTGGGCGTKAGGAAAGCAGAATCAACCTGCTCCTCTGACCACGTGGCGACAGTCCCTCACCATTGTGTCTGCACATGTTGACTTTCAACTCTTGGCGACGAGAGCCCCCCACCACCACCACATCCACACACACACACACCCTATTCCTCCCTCTATCCAAACCYCGAGGGAGCTGGGGGTCTAAAAATAGAGGCGGCAGCAGCCTGCAGCAGGGAGCTGATTCTGCATGCAGCCCCAGTCTCTACAGCACACCGTCAGTCAGACGGACACACAGACTCTGGCTGCTGCCGTGTGCCGACCACCTCCGGTCAGCTGCACTACGTGCTCCGCACCAGAGACGCCAGGTTAGATCAAAGTAGGTTTCACCTCTGCTGGGCACTCGCAGGCAGCACATACAGGCCAGCGCTGTTGCCGGGAGGAAGGGACAGCAGAGYGGTGTTGGAGGGAGGGGGGAGTCGAAGCCAGTGTGAGTGCAGTGGAAAACAATAGGCTACAGTGGGATGTGTTGGGGAAACAAAGGCTTGGCTCATGTGCTATTGCTAAATCTTGCTGTTCTCTTCCCAGTTCTCCTTTCCTATCCTTCCAAAAACACTCAGAAGTTATAAAAAAATAAATAAAATAAAATGTTTTAAAAGTGCAACTTTCAAAGAAACTGAGGATGCATTCTGTTTCTGTATAAAATACCCTCCAGTGAGTGAAAGCTCAGYGCCTTGAGTGTGAAAACACAGATCACAGACTGATGCAAAGATGAAAGCATCATCGCAGAGAAAAATCTATCAACAASGGAGTCAGTAAGTAAGTGACAATATAAAGGACAGAGTAAATGTGTTGAGTGAGCCGTTTCGAGAGGCAGCCAGAGAAGGCCAAACTCCATTCCATAACATTTATTAAATACTGCCTGTTGTGGCCGACCTCCGCCTCACTGCTCCCAGCAGTGCTAAATCTAATTACATGTTCTACCTCTCACGAAACATGTTTACCAGCCGGGGAGGACACAACCGCGTTTCATCTTCTGAAAAATATCTGGCAGCCTGCTCCGCTCGGTGTGCGGGRAAGGAGCAATTTGCTTTTGGCGAGATCATTTCAGGATCACTACCGGTAATTGCGTGAAGTAAAAAGGAAGTCAAGAACCCGGTGGAGAAGCAGCAAGACAGAAGGAGGAAAATAAATCAAATTTTAAAAAAAGGAGCAGAGGGAAAACGGGCGGGCGGTCAGTGGAGAACAGGCTGCGAGGTCTTACCGAGCTGAAGGCCGTAGATGCCCAGGCGTGGATCGGTGGTGTTGTGCAGCCGTCTTTTCTTTCTCCAGCAGCGGGCGGGGTAAGTGTACATCTGCCCGGCGGCAACACCTGTAGAATCACGGTGAGGAGGAAATAAACAAGACAGTTTCAGCCTGAGTCATGACAAAGAAAATACCATGAAATTAAATGTCAAGTATTGCTAAAACTATACACTTTAGACACACAACTGATGAATGGTTCAATCAATACAGTGGAACAAAATCTAATAATTACATTATTTAACTTTTGAAATAAAGAGATATGACAGCTCCACAATTTTGAACCCTTGGCCTCTTAAAGGGGCAATATCATGTAAAATCAACTTTTTTGAATTTTATATCATGTTATAATGTTCTGCTCTCATAAAAAACGTGCCCAAAGCCTTGCTTCGACTCATTCATGCATGTCTGAGAAATCCTGCAGCGTTTTTAGGAAGCCATGCTGAGGAGCAAAACGATAGGCGGAGATCAGAAACATCTTTTGGGACCAGAAACGCCCCTGGGACATGTCTTCTTTAAGCCGAACTTCCTCATGGAAATGTATTTTCAGATGCCAAGTGAACTGCATCATGGCGGCCCCCCACCCCGCACCGAAATGGGAGAGACAAAAGCGAAGCTGGTTCTTAAAAGAGACAGAGGCCAATTTCAAGGCGTTTAGAAGAGGAAGTGATGAGAAGATAAGTTTATTTTCTATTTAAACATAAAAACAGCATTTTAATAACAACTAAAGGTGACATAGATACTTTATTATGGTATAGTATTTAAATGTATGCCTGAGAAACACATAATATTGCCCCTTTAAGATTAGAGTAACCTGTCTGAAATCTGTATTAAGTATAATTCTCCAGATCTGAGTAAAATAGATCCTAAATTAGAGTATAAATAACAGCTTCCTGACAAACATTTAAAGTGCAGGTCTACTAAATTTGCTGCAACTTAAATTCAGCACAACATAAAAAGCTTGGATTTTARTGACTATATTCCCTAAATGTAAATACGGTATGCTCAGACTAGAATGCCTTGAATGCCTCTGGAGAAAGAGGTAGATTGTTTTTCTTCTGTGCATTCTGTGCTGGTCTGTWTATCTGTGTGAGCCTTTGTGTTTTCCCTACCGGGGCTGCGTTGGTGGCGTTCCATCCAGATGTAGCAATTGTTCTGGGCAACGCCAGTCTGAGAGTCCAGGAACGGCAGGCGGACGCTGCGTTCAGCACACAGGCGGGCATTGTAGCTGCGGCACTGCTCGATGGCCTCCTTATAGAACTGGTCTCCCAACCTTCAGGAGGGAACATTTGCAGCAAATATCACTGACAAGGTACTGAAATGTTGAGTTACGGAGTACAAACAATTACTTTACAGGTCGACGGTAACTTTAATCTGCGAACACGACTTTCAGGCCTGCTGCTAATAAAACTGTGCAGCAGGTTTGTGTTCAGCAGAGTTCTACAACGAGGAGAATAAGCTGCTAAAACACCTAAACTGAGACACTGATGGAACAACCTCTTGTATGTTCAGTCAGGTAAAATGAATGGTAATTTAAAAAATCTTTTCTTTTTATTGAGAAATCTGAGATTGGTACAAACAGCTTTGGTACAAACAGCTTTAGCATAGTCATATTTTCTTTAGTTATTGAGGTGCTGGTTTGTGAGCTGCAAATGGTTATAGTTGCCTCTGTTGGTGCACAGAGAAAYGTTTGAATCAGCTTTTAATTTYATTATTTTATGTCTAATTTAAGAAGAAAATCCAGGTGGTTCCTTCTACAGCAGGGGTCTCCAACATTTTTTTTCCTTAAGAGCTACTTTCACAAATCAAAATTGTCCAAGAGCTACTTTTTGCTACATTTAATTTTAAACTTTAAACCATTGGAATAAGCTTGTTTTGCACCAAAAACATTGTCTTCAATTCACATGAAACCACCACAAAGAACACTGAATTTACATGAACGGGCTTTTTGTGTTTATCCATTCATATTACAGTGTATTTCACATTACTAACAGGGTTTAACCGGGACAGAATTGTGCACAAATAACATCCAATTTTTTTCTCTGCATTGTAGACTCCAGCAGGAAGAAACCCTGTGCAGTGATGAATACCGCAGCGGGAGGGTTTCCCAGGAGCTCAGYATAGTGTGTGTGAAAATGAACGCCGAACAACCATGTAACTGCACATTGATTGCCGATTGACCATACTGAGCCCTAAACTGTTTGAGTGACAACYAAGGAGAAGAGWYATCTACAGGTTCATTGGAATTAAATGAAAGTTTGTTTGGCCAGTGACAAATTAAATGTTGCTTCTCCTAATTTTTGAAAAGCACTGAAGAGCTACTTTAAATGAGCTCAAGAGCTACTGGTTGGAGACCCCTGTTCTACAGTGAATACGAGCATTTTTTTAACCCAACAATGTTTTCAGAGAAGGAGGATGTGACTCATTTAACTTGAAAGATTTCAAAAATGAAAATTAAGCGCCTCAGGAACACCACAAATRTTTTTGCTCACATCATTTCCCATCCCTCAGAGTAAAGAATATGAATAAGTAAAAAACATCAAGATGATGACAAACACAAATTCAGACATGGTACAGCTGGATTTCCATTAGCTGCTCAGTCATTAGATCGGAGTTTGTACTGCCCAGTTACCAACAAGAGGACTTTAGACAGAAATATCTGAGTTAAAACATATTTATCGCTTAATTCTAAGCTGGAGGATCATTTGTCAAAGATAAAAAGTGTTCAAAATCTTGACGCCACTAATCCTACAAAGTTGTCAAACTGTATGACATTTGTAAACCATGGCTTTACACATTATCTTTCCCAAGAATCAATTTCATTCATAAAACTACAACACTTTACAGTATTACATTTTAACCAGTGTTTTGTGAAAATGATTTCAATGAATACAATTATCAGGAAGAGTAGTTAAGTTTGTTAAGAAGATGCAGCAAAATGCACAAAGTGGTAAAAACTGTAACTCACGACTACAAGAAAGTTCTGGTTAATAAAATGTTCATTAACATTTTCCACATGTAGTGTTAGAGCTGAGAGTCGGATGCAGTRCATAATCATTAAAACTGTTACACCAACACTGAACGTGCTTGTGTTGGCAGAAGACCTGCAGAAATGTTAGTTTATAGTCTGCTGTTGTAGATTCTTAGGAGAAGGAGAAAACACTTGGACATTAATGAATAACAACAATAAAATAAAATAAAAGATATATTTTTGTTGTTTWTAGTGCAAGTCTCCAAAAGTGTTCTGCAGACTTTACTCTGCCTATAATAAATACTCATCCTGTAACACTTGTCAACCTGCACAATGCTGTTAGTCTGTTCAAACGTCAAATAAAACCCTTCAATCTTAGCTTCAGTGTGACAGCAAACACTCTCTACACTTTTCTGATCGCTGCTGTGGAGAATTTGTGAACGGGGGTTCAAAGCAGCCCATTTACAGCTGTTCCTCAACTCTGCCCGTCTACGGAGGTTTAACACATTATTGCCTCTGCATGCTCTTTGTTTGATTTGATTCCTGATAGACTGTGAGTTACTCTGCTGCTGTGTTAGATCACATTAAAAAAAAACAACACAAAATCCAGGGTCTGACATGAAGTCACTCCTCTGACCGTCAAGCAACTCAAAGACTMGCACTTTACTTCCACTTTTCTTAGTGCCACTGAGATTTTGGCAGTCCCTCAGGGTTTCGGTGTTAATATTCAGAGCGAAATGGGGGTGGATATTTCACATTCAAGCCCTCAATCTCTGCCACACGCCTGGTATGGTAATTAGCCTACTTAATTAATCGCAGCAGAGTTCCTAGCACAAGGGCAGGTTCTTATTTGACTACGGAGAAGATGGGGAGTAAATCTAGACAAGGTGCTTTTAACAGGTTTTTCACAGTCTGAAGTATTATCACAGGGCACATAATAGCCACGGGTTCTTCTGGTACAGCCAAATAATGAYGTTCCTCCATGTGTTCTCAATTACAACATTAGCAAGACGGCCATCTTGAAGAGGAACTAACGAGCTACAGGCCCACAGACGAGCCGTGCATCTTAAGCTAAAAGCAAAGAAGGTGCTGACTTTTCATTGTCTTTCATCGTGTCTTAAAACTCAACGCGACCATGTTCAGCAGTTGAGGAGTCACGTTAGAAGAGCCGTTTTGCACAGAGAACACAGCTCTGCGAGCAGCGTGTGGAAGGTTTCATGTCAATGTTAGCGGGGAGAGCAAACATTCACAGGTACAGTGTTGAGAGCAGGGAGCCGGGGAAAGGTGTGAGGGCAGGAGACRAGAGGGAAATCTGAAAGTAAAAAGCAAGACAGCAGGGGTTGTAAGCTAACAAGCTGGTCATAACAACCAGGCATGGACTGTATTCTCCGTGATCTAATTGTACCCTGACAGAATAGTTAATAATCTTATCATTTCTCCCTGCCTTGCACACAAAATCAAATCAAATTCTCCCCTCACACACACATCGCCATTAATTTGGCTTTACCAGGCAAAAAGATTCACATAAGAAATCACAAAAAGGAATGCGCCTTAATCAGATTTGTCAGAAAGTTTAGAGCTTCTGGTTCTTTTCATTAGTAGCCTGRTCTTTGACTTCAGATAAATATTTGACTCATTAACGTGAAAAGTGTTAAGATGTGTCCTAAAATGTGTGAACTGCATTTGAGTGAGTGAGTTGTCCCCGGCAGTAAACACCTGTCAAACTAACCCGCGCGCTTGATTATCATCACACAGCTGTAATGAGACAAAGTGTGATGTGTACGTTTACGGAAACAGATCAGCTGCAAAACGCTCCCCGAAGTGGCGAWTGTGCCGAGCGGATGAGAGACGGGGTAACGGTCAGGATGATGACTGAAAATACAAATGAGAGACTGAAAAACTGGAGGGAGAAAGCTGTCCGAGCCGTGATACATCCTCAATCAGAGAGCCGTCACTCCAAGCTGCAGGTGCGCCGGTTAAGGTGAGAGATCTTTCTGACACCTGTAACGAGTGACAAGACCTACATGTCAGATGTCATGTCACAGGAGGTGAAAGAGATCCACACCCCCACTCTCAGTAGACATCTATAAATCAAAACTACAGCAGCTGATGGCTATKTTTGCTTAAATATGCAGGAGCTGAGAGTTTAAAAATGGAGGAATGTTGAAAGAAGCTGAATCAAGCAGGACAGACGCACAAAATCCTAGAAAGGAACAGCAACATTACCCTCAATGTGTCTGATGTAAACAACATCCTGACTGAAATTAAAAGATGGAGCTGCCAACAGCAGACAGGACAGGAAAAGAAAATAAGGAAATTCCTTAAAACGTAATACCACTGATGGTCAGAGGATGAGTGAACACACTCCAACAAAACATTAGAGTTTCCTGTAAATAATAATAACTGAAATAATTAATCAGTTATAGTCATTATCATATTATGAGTACAGATTCCTCCTGACCAGACTTCTGGCTGTTGGAAAAAATAAAGTCTAAAATAACTGCTACTAAAACAGATACTTGCTGTAAAATGTTATTTACATAATGCGTATAAAATATCTAAATCCCTGGAAAATATATGGGAGAAATTTTAATTTCTTAAACTTGACTTGAAACAYCTTTGAGAATTTGGACCCATTATTTTATTTATATCTGCTGGTTTGACCAATTTGTCCCGCTTTACTTTTAAATTTGCATTTTCTAATCTTTTCTCCTAGTTGTTGCTTTTTGTGTTTGTGTGAAAGAAACTCCAATAGAGCAGCTAAGAAARTAAGAAGTTTCACTAAACACGAACTAGCTTTGTTCCCCCCCCAGCAGCTAAGGAGTGACTTCAAGAAAACCTGAGAGCCTGGCAGGGACTTGGAGCCTTGTGCTGTTCTGTCTTCCAGCCGAGTAGAAAAGATGAGTGTGCACAGAAGGAGGTAGAGAAAGAAGCAAATCTTGTGGCTGGTGAAGCCCTGCGCTATCAGCTTGTTTCTGCCAACGGTTCATCGTGCCACATGGTTGCATCTGTAACGTGAGCATGTGTCAACACACATTTTGCATATCTGGCAACATGGAGAGCGGCTCACAGGGAGGCTTGTGACAAAACTTCAGTGTATATTCTGAAAAGCCCTTAAGTAAAAAGTATGCATGAGTTTTTTTTTTTCTCTCTTTTGGAGGGTTTCCTAAAKTTGCAGGTGCAACGCTGCTTCGCAGGAAGTCAGAGCTACCACATAACAAGCGAGGGGGAGGGCCTGAACTGAGTGACTGCATCCTGACAACAACCTCTGATTACACCAATCAGAACAACAGTGTGGCAGAGGGCAGGAGCAAAACCAGACAGTACACCTCCACACTTCAGTGCAAACAAACAGCAGGCCTGACTCACTGAAACTCTACTCAACATCGATGACAAACAGGGAAGCGTCAGGCTGATGTGGTGTCAGCAGAGCCGCGGATGAAAGATGAATCCGGTTGGTGGAAAACTCCAGCTGTGGCTCAAATTTTAATGAGCGGTTTTACTAATTAAATATCCCGGCCTCCATTTTAATCAGCAGATTTGGGAGATTACTGTCGTTCCCGCTCACAGACAGGAGGCAGACCTCACAGAGACGCTGGACTTGCACACTGCAGCTTCATCGACTACACTGCAACAATTTATTCTTTTAAAGTCAAACCAGCATTTCATTTCCCTAACGTAAACCTTCTTAATACAAAAAAGGTCAAACTAGTCCACAAGACTGACATCCAATTAGTGTCAAGTGTGACTAATTATAATCTGACAAACGTGCGAAATGGAGTCAGAAACCCAAGACAGAGGCTAATTATAGCAGATTGAAACACTTCATTAACCACAGCTTATAGCAAGGAGACATTCCACATCACTCGCTAAAACGTCTTTGAGATGAAACAGCAGCTTGACAGCAGATGCAGGAAGAAGCTTGTTGGGACATAAAAGGGAGAAATAGTCCGGCAGAGTAACAATGAAATACACTTTCCAATAAAAATCCAGCTATCCTGATAAAACACAGACGATTGGTGAAAAGCTGTTACATGGAAGCTGTGATTTTTCTGGGCCATTCCCTGGTGGGTAAAACATAGGCGCATGAAACAGATGGAAAACATCTTTCCTTTTTTTAAACCACCCGTGTTTCCTTAAGCAACATCCAGTCAGTGCACAGGTGGGGGAGTTGTTTTACTGACTGTTCTGCATCGTTTCAGATGGAATCTGAAAATGTTTTRATTAATGTGTCTTCTCAGTGGGCAAGTGAATGCATTCAAGTCTGCAAGACCAACACGTTACCCTGCTCATATATATAGATATTTCTAACCTAACAAAACAAATAATAATAATAATAAT